GGTGGGAAGGCAGAAGAGCCCAGTGCTGCCCTGTTGTCCCCACACATGGTCCCACCCGTAGCTACAGGACCTCTCGAGCTCCTCTCCCGCCACACAAGTGAGACAGATCCTCTCTCCATCCCCTCTCCCCTCTGCCTGGGGGTCTTCTACCCCATCTCTTTGATGCTCATGGGGCTTCCTACCCTGAGGCCACCTCCGGCCAGACCATGGGTGGCTCCAGGAGGCCCAAAGCCCAGTGCACCCTCTGGCTGGTGGCACCCCCTCCCAACCCCTCTCAGGTGGGCTACCTTTGATGGCCCTGCCGATGACCTGCTGGGTCAGGTCTGTGGCCGTGCTCCAGCTCAAGCCCTGGTCGGTGCTGGTGACGCAGCAGAGGCGGGGGGGCTTTAGAGGCGGGTGACATTTTGGCCCGTGACAATCTGGTAGGCTTCAGGGGTCCTGCCCAGCACCGTGATGAAGAAGAGGAAGAGGGTGCCGGTGAACTCGTCGTAGAGCGGACAGGGGTTCATCGACCGGTGGTGCCGCAGTGTTGCCGTCTCCAGCACGCGCATGTCTTCCCACTGCCCGGGGAGGAAAAGAGGAAGGAGAGGGGTGAGGAGCCCCCAGCTTCCACCCACCCCTGCCTCACCTTGGGGCAGGTCCCACCCTGGCAGTCCTGGGGCTCCCTGCCGAGAGCATCCCACCAGAACTTCCTGCCACAGCTCTTGTCACTGACACGGTGGCACGCTGGACGTATGTGGGTTTTTTTGTTGTTCAAAAGCTGGAGAAGTCGGGGTCCCCGGCCAACAAGGATTAACGTGACCGTCTTTGAGCACAGATCAGACTCGACTGGGGTACAAATGGAGCCCGGCCGGAGGGTGGGCTGGAGCCGGTCCCCCCTTGGAGCAGCAGGTCCACAGTTGAGGACTCTCCCCGGAGGCTGGGATGCCGCCCAAGGGAACTCAAGCCCTGCCTTTGTTTAGGTAAGAGCACATCTGAGCTCACCGGCCATAAAGCTTACGGAGTCTTGAGTCAGTCGCGTGGTGTTAATTCCTAAGTGACGTTTTGTACCTATGGATTGGTAATGTTATTGGAGTTTTAAAACGATTTATGTAGAGATAAGGTGGAACTCGTTATCAGTTCATCACAAATAAATCCCACTTGAGTTTATCACCTCATCTAATTTCATTTTTTATGAGTTTCGTGACACATGTCCCCATGCGGGTGCCTCTGGGAGCTCAGCTGTGCCATGGAGGACAACCACCCAGCTGTCCCTGTGCCCCCAGCCCAGCATCTCCCCCCACCCCCGGGTGCATCATCCCCCATCCCACCTCCACGTAGCTCCCGTAGACGGTGCCGCGGCGCAGCACCAGTAGGTTGGCATGGGCATCGTCGGCGCTCAGCCGCTCCTCAGCGAAAGCCAGCAGCTTGGTCACGCAGGGCAGGTAGAGCAGGGCGGGCACGCGGTAGGTGACACCATTGG